CACACAATATTGTATGTTACAGGTGTACAATGTAGTAACTTACAATTTTTAAAGGTTATATTACATTGAGGGAAGCCTGGCCTGCTGTTGTCTATGGGGTCACAAAGAGTCAGAAACAACGTAACGACTAAACAACAACAGTTGCTATAAAATATTGGCTTTACTTCCTATGTTGTACAATATAAGCTATAAGAATATATTGTGCAATTCCGGGTATATTATATTCACATATAGATTTCAGTATGTGCACCATTTGACAAGCAAAGACAGCCTCCGTTTAAGATATTCTGGTCATTCTGAAAGACTTAACATGAATACAGAATATACGGGTTCCAACTACTTTTCTACCTGTAGGGTTCAGAACCATGGTGGGAGCTGTATAGAATATCAAAAGACATTCCTTACGTAGAATCTGTTTTCTACTTATCTACTGTAACTGCTACTGCTTCTTGCTTTCACCTGGCCATCACAAAAACACTTTAGAACTGTCTGCTACTCCGGGGAGCAAGACTCGGCAAGCAAGCAACCCAGTAACTTTTGTCACCACTGCTAATTAAAACTAATTTATTTAAAACCTGGAAGGGATTTCAGAAACCATCTGGAGTTCTAGACCAGCTTCTTCAGTTTACATGTGCTGTCTATACTGAGTTTCAGACAGGTGACAGAACTTCTTGAAGTGTACTTATCCAGTCAATGGCAGAACTGTGGCTAGAACTCAGGTTTCTGGAGCCCTGGTCCAGTCCTCTTCCTCCAAACACTGTTTTATCATTTCAAATTCTGTAAATCTGAAGCTGCTGTTCAGTCACTGAGTCATGTCTGACTCTTTGAGCCCCATGGACTATAGCAGGCTTCCCTGTCCTTCACCATCTCCCAGAGCTTGCTCAAACTCATGTCCATTGAGTTGGAAGTATGGTAGGCGTAATATGGACTTTGAAACTAGAGTGACACAATTTCAAAGTCTGATTTGGTATGTAACAAGTCTTTTGTCATCTCTGGATGGGACATTTCTTAACCTGAAAATAAGGCTAAAATGGGAGTGACAGCATCTACCCATGTGGCTTCCCAGGTGGCGCTAGTGGTAAAGAACTCACTTGCAATGCAGGAGACAAAAAGACACAGGTTCAATTCCTGGGTTGGGAAGATCCCATGGAGAAGGAAATGGCAACCCACTTCAGTATTCTTGCCGGAAGAATTCCATGGACAGAGGAGCCTGGTGGGCTACATACAGTACATAGGGTCACAAAGAGTCAAACATGACTAAAGTGACTTGGCAGGCACACAAGCAGGTTAGAAATGATACAGGTCAAGAACCTAGCACATTTCCTGGTACATGGAGGCCTGGGAATAGCAGTGATGACAGGTAAGGCCACAATTATAATTTTGACACTTTGAAAAAATTAGGGATGTATTGGGTTGGCCAAACAGTTCATTCAGTTTTAAGTACCAATAAAAGTCATATTCTTCATTTTCACAATGAACTTTACTGAACAATGTATTCACTAACTGAACAGCTTTTTGGCCAACCCAATACCTTAGTCAAATCCAATACTTTCTATTAAATAGGGTATCTGCCATCATTTACTGAACACTTTTCTGTAGTTATTTCTGTTTAAAATAGAAAGTGTTTTATAAGTTTAACTTATGGAGCAAAGCAAAATGTCTTGATATCTGTTCTGATATTAACCATGATCTTCAACTGATACCTTAGTTTTAATACTCCAAGATTTGACCTAAAAGTCTAATATTATCCTATTTATGGCCTTTCAGATAATATATATTTTAGTCATCTCCCTCTTTCACACATTGAAGAAACCAAAAAACTTCCATAGAGGCTAAAACAATAATCACAGCAATGCAGGATGCTCAGAAAGCAGGGTCATGGTGTGTGGCTGTGTGGGCTACTCATGGGCAATGATAGGAGGTACCATTCTCTTTCATGGGTGAAGCCCCAAAACAATGGACACAAATCTAGGGCAGTGCCCATCTTTTTGGACCTTAGTCACCGGTACAATTATTTAAACAGAACCCTAAGGTATATAGTCAGAAATATTAGTAACTATTATCAGGCTTCCCAGGTGGTGCTAGTGGTAAAGAAACTGCCAGCCAATGCAGGAGACACAAGAGGTTCGAGCCTCTAGTCAGGAAGATGCCCCCAGAGAAGGAAATGGCCACCCACTCCAGTATTCTTGCCTGGGAAATCCCATGGACAGAGGAGCCTGGCGGGCTACAGTCCATTGGGTTGCAGAGAGGCAGACAGGACTGAGCACATATCTCTCTTTGAATTAGGAACTATTAAGATGCTTCATTAATCAAAAAGATTTTAAAGCCAGGAACATCATGAGTAATTTATTATTACTCTTAGGACAAGTTTCACAGAATTTTCAGCAGTCTCTTCCATGCATGGGGCATCATGCAGAAAAAGATTCTGTAGTAAAACACCTGATTTCTTTTTTTTTTTTCTGATTTCTTTTTTTAAAGTGTTGGTATTGGAGGCAGGATCAGTGCTTTGTAGAATAATTGATTTATATAGAAATATTTGTATATATTCTAAAATGAAGCAAATTTCTTTTGGATAAAAAGCATATCCTTTGTAAGGAATTAAGCTCTCATACTGTAAGCCCTGTACTCTTATCTGGGTTGGTTAAAACCACTATGTAATGACTCACTGCTGTGTGCGTGTGTGTGTGTGTGTACACATTTTCCTTTGCATCTGAAGGTGGGAGCCTCCATTCCCTTACTTACTCAAGAAACACTTTAATTCGGATACCAAAAGTTTGCCACTGATGTCTGAATAAAATTGTTCCCTTCAATTTTTTATCTGTAATAGACTCAGGTTGCTAACAGTATTTATAGGGTCATTATTTTCAACTGCTTCTTGACACCTAACAATATTATTTTAAGCTCCAGCCAAGTGGATTTCCAATAATTATATAATGTCTCTCAGTAATGATTTGTTGCTTAAGATACACATTCTACTTTACCTTTCAACACATACTTGATAACCTCTCATTTACTAACTGTAATTGAGGCAAATTCAGTCTTGGCTAATTAGGGGCTCTTTAGTACCCCCTCATCTATGTTATTCTTGATGACATGTCAATAGAATTAGAGCCTACTTTTTGTTTTTAATTATAGTAATACAAGTGTGCAACTTAAAAATATTAGAATGTTTAAGGACATTGTAACTATTTTACAAATAACAAGTCCAATGTCCTACTGGGGATATTCAAAATGACAAAACCTTCACAACCAAAACAGAATGGTTTTTTGTTATGGGTTCCTTTTAGAAGCAAATCCATAGCCATATCTGATGCTTAGGCATTGGAAGGAAAGTGCAATATACACCTATAGCCATGACAATAGAACAAGCACATCATTTTAATGTTGGCCTCCTGGCATCTACTTTAGTCAGCTCCCTTTGTTAATTGCTACCATACAAAAGTCTCAAAAGAAGTTTGGTGAATGGAGGGGAGTTGAAGTGGGAAATATTTTTATGAAGAAAGAAATTCTACCTCTGTTACAAACTGAGGATGAGTTCTGCAGTAAAAAGGTCACCAAGACAAAAAATTGAAGACGTTAAGAAATATGTAACACACAGAGACACACACACAGACATGCGTAGAGGCCTATTTGGAGAATGACTCTACCATTTTTTCAACAGAGAAAATGTGCTTCCACTATACCAAGAAGAAACATAATGGGAATAACATCAACTCTTCTTTTCTAGTTCAACATTTTTGAAAATTACCACATAAGCAAAAAAAAAAAGTAAAAGAGAACTTGGAAGTGAAACATATGCTCGTAAATACAGAGCAATACCAAATGGAAGCAGAAGTTGCTAATACGGTTTCAGTATTTTGTAAAAGAGCCAGCTGGATGGATGATAATTTTTCTACCCCTGCAGGGCATCAAAGCTTTTCGGAAATCATTCTCTTCACACATATTAACACTTAGCTTATTAAAACAGATGATACTTTTATTGTAAAACAGCCTGGGTAGAGGCTAGAAACATAAAATACGAAAGAGAAGGCTCATTTTGACCACCCAACCTGATAAACAACAAACACTGACATGACAGACCATGGTGGAGAGGATGACGTAGCAAGACCTTCTGTAACTGCCACAGCTGAAGTGTCACCATGAAGCCCGTGAATTGTTGTTGTGAAAACATTTGCAGTAACTTGCATAATTAAATGAAACTGCCAGAAAAGCATTTCTAAAATGCAGAGAAGATGTACATAAATAAATACAGTTCAGAGCAAATATTACATGTCAGAATCAGCAATGGAATGGATTATGCAAAGTTATGTCATCAGCAAAGTACCATTTCCTTTGAACTGACTGCTGCCTAATTACAAATAAGTGACAACATTGTTATTGAAATGGACTGCTCTCTTAGTCTCTTTTATAGATACTCAGTGGATGAAACTTGTGGATCAAGTCATCTAAAACTACAACCTCCCCTTCCTAGGAGCTACCATGCCTTTGTGAAGACCTCCACGAGACCGGAGCAGCATTCTATCTGTTAGCAAACCTCAGTACTGGAAAACAAGATGAAAAGGCACATTAACAGTACAGTAGCAGATATCTGGCTTTACTGTGACTTACTTCTTTGTTTCCATGAAGAATATCATATTGACTTAAGAAAAACTTTTACAGTAGGGGCCCAAAACATTACAGTATGATTCTGTTTATGGATTGCTGCAAAGGCAACTGATGTAAGCTGTACACAACGGTAAACTGGATATCATCTTGCTTGCTAAAATGAACCTTCGAATGATTTTGAGACTCTCATTCTAATAGTGACAGTTTTCAAGTATAGAAAAAAAACCCATTAAGACTTCTGTCAGCAGTCAAAGAAACAAAACAATAAACTATTAGCTGTGTGGAAGGGAAAAAAAGAAAAGAAAGAGTGATTTGCAGACACACTCTCAAAATGCAACTTTTCCCTTCACAGTACATCTACAATGCCAGCTGGCTCTGGAAGAGTAGCTACTTACATCGAACAACTTTTCTATGTACATTTCCTCATTGACTTTTTCTCGAAGAATGTCTTGATTTTGCCGAACAAACATAATATAGGTATCTGCCAGATCCATCCCTGGTTTCTGTTGTGAGGAAAAAGCACAGGGAATAGAACAATCTTAGGTTTTGATTGTGAAAATTTATTTACTCACCACCCTAGAAAATTATTCATTATGTTATTTCAAAAGTTACACTAGAAAAATATGCTTAAGATCAACAGTTGTCGTTGTTCAGTTGCCTAGTCGTGTCTGACTCTTTGTGACCCTATGGACTGCAGCACGCCAGGCCTCTGTCCCTCACCATCTCCTGAAGTTTGCCCAAGTTCATGCTCATTGCATCAGTAACAAAAAAAAAGATCAACAATGGACACCTTCAAATTCCATAATTAAAGTATTAAATAAAAGTTTATCACTGAGGTCTATAACTTGAGGTCATAGTTATTGTTCATCATTTAAATGACTAGAAATATGTGGTTGTAAGATAGTAGATACCTTTTTAAAAAAATGGCTACCTTGCAAAGCCAATATGCTGAGTATAAATGAATAAATTTTTCAAAAAATTCCCATATGCAATAATCATTTCTTAATTGCAACTACAATTTCTTTTTCATCATTTTTGGCTGGTTTATCCATATATATTTTTAAAAAATGTTAGCTTTCCTTGGGTTGCCTTCCTCAGCTACTATGGCTGTTCAAGGAATACAAAATAAGTTTTCTTATTAGGAAGATATTGAACAAAAAGCATTTAATGCATTACAAAGTGAAATGCAAATCAAAATACTGTGGGTTATCCATTGTTTCTGCTCATCCATATTTATCAATACTACCTCAAGGACTTATATTATTTTAGAAATGCGATAAGACTATGAATGAACTAGTCTCCTATGAAGAGCCAAAGGTGCAGATTAGCTAACTGTTCAAAGTTATCCAACATTTCACATCTTCTAATGTTAGATGAGACAGGGCAGTTAATAAAAATCCTCCTTGCTATGGAATCTACAAAATCTGCACAAGGAGGGGATAAAACTCTGAATGGTTCCTAAAGAGTATTCCTTCTAAACTTATCTTTAGTTCTTTATTGAGTTTCATATAGCTTGACTAGATGAATTGTATACTCTATACCTGGAGTTGATTCATAGTCTGTATTGAGTTATTCATTTAATTAGAATAGGGTAATAATATGATGAAATGGTAAAACTGATGCCTAAATGAGTCAGTCAGTCGTGCATCATTTCATATCTGTAGGATGCACTTATATAAGCCATTAATGGACTCTTCACAAAAGTAAATAACATAAGGAAATCTGGTGAAAGAGGATGTGAATCATTTAACTATTCAGGAAGATCCGCTAGAGAAGGAAATGGCAAACCACTCCAGTATCCTTGCTTGGAAAATCCCATGGTAGAGGAACCTGGTGGGCTGCAGTTCATGGGGTTGCAAAGAGCTGCGCATGACTGAGTGACTAACATACTGCAGGAAAGACAAGATATGCCTCTGAGTGATGTTAGGACAGTGGTCGTGCCTTTTCCTTAAATGAAAGGCAGAGAGCTCTTATCACTCTTTTGTTGGGGGGAGGGATAATAGTTTATATACAATGATAAAACTGCTCATCTCTTAACCAGTGCACAGTGCAGACACTGGCATACCTCATTAATAAAAATTAATTTGACTTTTTGCTAATGAAGTTATTTCTGGACAATGAAAATCCCAGGAAGTACTTACTGTTCTTAGACTAAAGGGAAATTTATATAACATACACTGAAGGATACTTTCAAACATAACCTTGATATAACAAAATTCACGACTAGTTATAACCACAACTATTTATAGAAACATCTTAATTGATCTTTCCTTCAAGAGCATTCCTACACAATGCAGAATATATATATCAAACTTACCAAACTCATTTTGCTGTTTTTCTACATAATTCTCATCAGCAATGTTTGAAAATTTAAATAATTACAAGGATACTCAAGAGAAACCTAAGCGATTTTCTTCTTTGGGGCAAGTGGTGTTATACTGAGATTTCCAGTGAAAAGGTAGGGTAATTTGTATAAGATTACTAGCTACTATTAACAGTTGAAGCCCATAAGATAAGGATTTCTCTCCATGTTTCTCAAACTTTGTCAAAACACTAAAAATGAGTGCATTCAGAAAACATACTGCTGCAGAATGAAAATGACAGAATAATTTTCTATGTATGATAACAAGTCAGCTCCACCTGTGAGTTTCAGTCAAGTGCTTGGAAAGAAAATGCTATGATATGTATAATACCAAGGCAGCAGGGTTTTGTCCAGCTGGACTGAGAGTTAAAGAATAAACACATGAGAAGCTTGCCTCCTCCACCATTTCTCTTCACCCCACCCCATTTTTATTTCTGCCTTTCAAAAGAGGAGTATGCTTATAAATTTACACTAATTAAACACTGGACCCATCAGACTCACTGGAAACTGAGTTATAGCCAGGTGAAATGGAGAATGATGCCTTTATACACCTGCCACAGACTCGGAAGGTAATTTTCTGTTTCCTTGATCACTTTTAAGATAACATTAGACATCATGAAACATTGTCCAGGAAAAACGTTATCTTTTGCCACCTTAAACTAACAAACACTTTACAATTTAAGCCTAAAAAAAAACCTCTGTGTTGTTCCCTTTGGCAGACCCAAGGGCTGTAATACTGAAATGTGTAAGCCGAGACAATTCTACAACTAAGAAAATTAGAATCCCTGGTTGGGGGTGTGAAGTAAGGCTCATTTAAGTTTATTTCAACAAATTAAGTCTCGTCTTTTTCTTTTTGAAATTACACTTTCTCCCCTTTGGCAAATTAAGCTCCGCTTGCCTAGTAAACAAAACCTACAATTTTTACATTCCTCATTAGCATTATTTCTTCCTTTATCTTTGAGCTGTTTACCTATTCTTGAAACTGTGACATACGTGAATTTCACACCTAGTGAATATATTTTCATGTAGCTTGTGGCATGAGACTATAATCATTAAAAGAATATACACAAGTAAGAATAACTGCAACAGCTGGTGACATTTACCAATTAGAATTATAGTTCTTTAAAACACTTTATCGTTCCTTTGGTGTATGAAGGGTAATTATCTCTGATAAATTGCTGAAAAAGATATAATTTTCCTTTTAAACAGTTTCTACTTACAGTACAAATGTGTTTGGATAGAAGACATTATCGCTGGTTCAGTGCTCCTTTGTGCTAAGACTCTTGCTTTATGGCAGTAAAATTTACATACTTTGGAAGTCACTGTGTCTCATTCCATTAATACATATTATCTTATTAGGAAATAAAGTTTAGTCAGAAAACAAAAACTGGACACACTTGGTTCAGTTTTCATTTTCTGGTGCGTAAATGAAAGGCATGCATGTGACTGCATCAGCCAGACAGAAAACTGCTACGCGTTTTGGTGCAAGTGGGTGTCCTCAACCTTATCAAAAGAACAGCCGGCTCAACTTCAACAACTGCAGATTTGGATGAGTTTTTATCAAGAATATTACATTCTAGAGAGGTACACTTAGAAATACTTTCTACATCTGTAATTATCAGTTCAGTCGCTCAGTCGTGTCTGACTCTTCGCGACCCCATCGACTGCAGCACACCAGGCTTCCCTGTCCATCACCAATTCCCAGAGCTTGTTCAAACTCTTGTCCATCGAGTCAGTGATGCCATCCAACCATCTCATCCTCTGTCGTCCCCTTCTCCTCCTGCCCTCAATCTTTCCCAGCACCAGGGTCTTTTCCAATGAGTCAGCTCTTCTCATCAGGTGGCCAATGTATTGGAGTTCCAGCTTCGGCATCAATCCTTCCAGTGAACACCCAGGACTGATCTCCTTTAGGATGGACTGGTTGGATCTCCTTGCAGGCCAAGGGACTCTCAAGAGTCTTCTCCAACACCACAGTTCAAAAGCATCCTTTCTTTGGCGCTCAGCTTTCTTTATAGTTCAACTCTCACATCCATACATGACTACTAGAAAAATCACAGCTTTGACTAGATGGACGTTTGTTTGCAAAGTAATTTGTAATTATAGTTTTCTTAACAAAGGAGAAAATAAAGATTAAAGAACACATAGTAAGCACATGCATGTTAAGTTGCTTCAGTTGGTTCCAGCTGTTTGTGACCCTATGGATTACAGCCCACCAGGCTCTTCTGTCCATGGGATTCTTTAGGCAAGAATACTGGGTGGGTATCATGCCCGCCTCCAGGCAGTCTTCCTGACTCAGGGATCTAACCTGTGTCTCATGTCTCGCATTTGCAGGAGGGTTCTTTACCACTAGCACCATCTGGGAAGCCCTATAACAAGCACATTATGTATAAAATACTGGGTCTCCTGCATTGCAGGCAGATTCTTTACCGTCTGAGGCACCAGGAAAGCCTTAAATACCCCTAAAAGAGAGTCAATGTTATTTTCCATTCTCTATTCAAACCTTTGAGATCCTCAGTTCACTAAGCACTAACTTCTCCATCTTGCTTTTTAGGGTAGTAATCTCTAAATCAAAATAAGACTTCCTGGATTACTTCTAAATTGATTCAGAAAAGAACAGAATGTGGCTAATGAAATGACAGTAAAAGGTAAAACATCTAAAAAATTCCCCCAGGGGCATAAAGAAATCAATACACATGGAAGGGAATAGAGTATCGAAAGGTGAGTTCCTCTGACTCGGCCGCATAAGAAACAGAATACACCAGCGAGTGAATGCGTTTAAGTAAGGGTGCAGACTCCAGCAAATTTTCTTCCAGCGTTAATCACTAGTTGACTTAGTGAGATGAACACGCCGTTCAAAAAAAGAAAGAAAAAAATTCCTCGTTAATTATATACTACAAATGCTTACTTCCTGCTGCTGCACCTAATTCCACAGGTGCAAGTCTTTACTTTCCTCATTCATGGGTAGGTGGGTGCAGTGCTGCAGACAGTTTTCACAGCTACAGATTGAGATACAGAAGAAGCCGCTTAACCTTCCACGGAAGGTTAACAATACACTGTGCAAACACTGTCATGGTATCTATTTAACAAGGAGACAAATTTTTAAATATACTATTTCCATCTCAAAGATTAATAGAAGCTACA